ACGAGCGAACGGGCGACCGGATCCGGTTGGTGGACGTGGACGATTCTAATCAACAATTATCAAGATTAATTATCATAAACGACAGTAAGAGCTACGAGCAATATTCACTTACAATGAATTTGGGAGGCTGAGCTTTCCCTCCGTTTAGACCACGTGCAAAAGCTGCATCTTCGTCCCATTCGATTTTTCCACTGACATCAATGTGGCCTTCAGCCCCAGATCCTTCACCCTTTGATACACCAGCCTCAGCTCCAACGCTTGTATGAACATCACGGGATTCTAGCTCAGGCTCATCCCATTCGATCTTCCCGCTGACGCCAACATGACCTTTAGCTGGGGATCCTTCACCTTTTGATACACCAGCCTCGGCCCCAACGCTTGTATGAACATCACGGGACTCTAGCTCAGGCTCATCCCAGTCGATCTTTCCGTGGACACCAACGTGTCCCTCAGCTCGGGATCCCTCACCTTTTGATACACCAGCCTCAGCACCAACGCTTCCATGAACATCGCGGGATTCTAGCTCAGGTTCGTCCCAGTCGATCTTTCCGTGGACACCAACGTGTCCCTCAGTTCGGGATCCCTCACCTTTTGATACACCAGCCTCAGCACCAACGCTTCCATGGACATCACGGGACTCTAGCTCAATCGATCTACCGAAGGGGCGACCTGATCCACTTGGTGGATGTGGGCGATTCTAATGAACAATTATACAAATGGAACATCATTCCAAGAAAACGAAAAATATTTTCCGATTTATCCACAATGAATAATTCCAAAACAATTACTTACGATGAACTTGGGAGGCTGAGCCTTTCCTCCACCTAGACTGGGCGCAGCTGCTGCAACTGCCAAAACGATGGCAAATACCGCAAAAATCTTCATTTTACTTTGTTGTTGTCTCAACCACAAGATTTGGATGATTGTGACTGTCAAAAATCATCACCGGCTTATATATCCAAAATCAAAAGCACTCAAGCGATATGATGTCCACAGGGGAATCACCGATTCAAGAATACACGTACGCCGCACGGATGACGTAGCTATCGCGAAAGATATAGCTACAAGTATAACTGTTTCGCAGTCGGTCATGCGGCATTAATGCAGATACTTTCACAGATCCGTACTGACAAAAACTGCATATATTATGGATCATGAGGTTGATGCTCCATTCATATTACACTATTCATTGTTATTAGTTGAATTATGTAACGCGGAATTGCAGTGTTTTGATCAGTGCGCCAGGGTATTCCCACAATTTTCAAGTAATCTTGAAAAAAATGGATAGCATTATCAGTCTGTTCAATCGTATGATGACACTTTGAAAGTTTAAAATCGGTAGATAATAAATCACGAAAGTGATTAATATTCTGATAATAATGATGTGTTTTTTTCGGATAAAGCTGTTGTGATGCTCTTTGCGATGCGATTTTTTATTCGAAAGGCCTCGATGATGTTATTGAAGATCTTATTAATAGAGTTAAAGATATTGAAGACATAGACTGATTTGTCCAGATTGTTTTTTTATTGGAGAAATAAATGAAAATACATAGTAGCGAATATTGGCAGGATTGATGTGTTATAAATTACGTATTCTAAATGGTGGAGTATTTTTGTCTCATCGAACGAATTATTTGAAAGTAAATACGATGCATTGACTGATGTTGATGTCATTTGATCTTCCAGTTGGTATCCAGATGGCTATCATTCTTGTTTCGTTTACCTTTCGACGTTGAAGATTTTACACAGCTGTTGCTTCAGCTGCACGACGGAATCTCCATTGTCCTTGAAGGCCGATATGTGGTTCGGTCCTTTGACCTTGGTGGCTGCCAACACCACCTGATGCGCTGACATGTCCATTCTTACCCTCGAAAATTTTATGCTGGTAATCCAAGTTCCACGATCCATGACGATTGGGGCCATCTAAAGGCTTTTGTCCTTGTAGCACGATAGATCCCTGTGGCTCAGGTTCGGGGGACCGACGGAATCTCCACTGTCCTTGAATTCCAACATGTGGCTCGGTCCTGTGACCATTCTGACTGCCCATGCCACCTGATGCGCTGACATGTCCATTCTTACCCTCGTACAGTTTGTGCTGGTAATCCAAACTCCATGATCCATGACGGTTGGGACCTTCTAGAGGCTTCTGTCCTTGCAGCACGATAGATCCCTGTGGCTCGGGTTCAGGAGACCGACGGAATCTCCACTGTCCTTGAATTCCAACATGTGGCTCAGTCCTCTGACCATTCTGACTGCCCATACCACCTGATGCGCTGACATGTCCATTCTTACCCTCATAGAGTTTGTGCTGGTAATCCAAACTCCATGATCCATGACGGTTGGGGCCATCTAGAGGTTTCTGTCCTTGCAGCACGATAGATCCCTGTGGCTCAGGTTCGGGAGACCGACGGAATCTCCACTGTCCCTGAATTCCAACATGTGGCTCAGTCCTGTGACCATTCTGACTGCCCATGCCACCTGATGCGCTGACATGTCCATTTTTACCCTCGTAGATTTTGTGCTGGTAGTCTAAGCTCCATGATCCATGACGGTTGGGGCCTTCTAGAGGTTTCTGTCCTTGCAGCACGATAGATCCCTGTGGCTCAGGTTCAGGAGACCGGCGGAATCTCCACTGTCCTTGAATTCCAACATGTGGTTCGGTCCTGTGACCGTTCTGGCTGCCCATACCACCTGATGCGCTGACATGTCCATTTTTACCCTCGAAGATTTTATGCTGGTAGTCTAAGCTCCATGATCCATGACGATTGGGGCCTTCCAGAGGCTTCTGTCCTTGCAGCACGATAGATCCTTGTGGCTCAGGTTCAGGGGATCGACGAAAACGGTTGCCGGTGCCAGTTGGAGGACGTGGGCGATTCTAATCAATAATCACACCGAGATTAATCGCCACATCAAGGTGATAAAAAATATCTCAAGATCAATCAGCAATCATCAAAATAAAAAGATATACTTACAATGAGTGGCGGAGGCCCAACTTTTCCTCTGTTCAAGCCCGGCTCAGCAGCAGCAACTGCCAGAACAATTGCAAAAAGCGCAATAGTTTTCATGTTGATTCTTTCTTGTTGTCTCAACGAGAGAACTTGATCGACTGTGACTGATAGAAATCATCTCCGGTTTATATATGAAAGTTCAAATGCACCCAAGCTCTTTAAAATTCAACAGGGAATCCCCGATTTGACTGCACTACTTGGAGAAACTGATGACACATGCGAGAGATATAACTACAGGGATCCCCAGCCGTCTCTCGTTGAATCGCGCCGTTAATACAGTGACTTTCACAAATCCGCATCAAGAAATATAATGGTGTGAGTAAATTGCGGGTCGCGAGGTTAACGCTCCATTGCAATGAGACAATCCATTGTGATGAACTTCAATTGCGTAAGATAAACGCTCATTTGGTCAGTGCGTCAAGGTTCTTCCAAAATCTCAATGCAATCTCGAGGACAATTGATATTATTATCAATTTTTATCAGTCCGTAAAATTTAATTATGTAATTCTAAGTACATCAAGGCATCGGATAATAAATCACGAGTCGCTGATCAATGATCTGGTAATAACGACGTGCTTTTGGGACAAAGCTGTCACTTTATGGTAATTCACGTGTCGATTGAGTCTTGAATAATCACACATATCTCATATCCATCTGTGACTACACACACACACTCAATCATCACCGTAAAACATCTTCCATTACCGCAAACATAACCGGGGACGCCCCGGGGCATTATCACTCGCTCGTGTGTAAAGGAATTTAATGACTCCGCGATAAACTATTGACTCGTTACTTATTACAACGTCTGATAGTAAAAATCACCTCGGTTGTCTTTTATGAAGTTGAAAACTTTATTCCGTAAATTTAACTCGTGGCTTTCGCGGATGATTCAAATTATTTATAAATTGCAGGTAGACCCTTGGGTTGGAGGAAACGAGTAGGTATGTGATCCTGAACGAGTCGACGATGCGCAACCAAGTGGGGTTGCCGAGGTCAAGGCAACGGAGGGCGTTCACCAAGAACATTATCCTCTCCTGGGATCTTGCTCCAATCTCACTATCTCGATGGGAATGTACTGCGGAGAATCTGAAGACCAAATTACTATCTAATGTTTTCCTCGATCTTCAGACACTTGAGGTAATCCAAGAACTTCACTCAAAAAAAAGTCTAAATTCCCTCAACATTTCAGTGAATGTCATCACAACTCCTAGAATCAGTCGAATTCAACATCAAACTCAAGACAATTCAAAATCCACCAAAAGGTTCAAGTGATAGATCAATTTTAGTCATTCCCTTGACGCTCAAGAAAAAAGGGGGAAGTAGATTTTTTAATTTTCTCGGTGAAGACGTCAACCGGAAGCTCCTCACAAGATTTCCGGTTCGAATATGTGGGTAATATATAAGTTAATACATATATCGAGAGACGAGTTTTCTCGTGAGTTCGTAAAAGTCGATTAAAGTGGATGACAACTGTATCATCAGTGACAAGGATTGATGTATGCATCAGATTGTTTACACGGGGGATTGATATTGAAGGATATCGATGAAGTCGTGGGTAGCGTTGGAATAATATCGACTGGCAGGTGAAATACACGTGGGCTATCCATTTCTGAGTGATAAAATTCAGTGTTGCGCTTTCCATTCCGTATCGGTCGTTTCTCTGTAAAAAAAATGGAGATTGAAACTTCAGTCTGATCCACAAATGGATGGAAAAATCGTGAGGTGACTTTTCCATGATTTTCCTCAGTCTCCATTCCAATTTTCCCGGGTACGAGAGTAATTCCGGATATTTCCACGAATTTTAGTTGATTAATTTTTTTATCAACTGGTTTTCCGTTCGCTTTTCATTCGCCGCATTCTCAGGGGATTCTGGACGATTCGGAGATCATCGTCAAGGGCTCCAGGGCTTTCTCGAGACCGAACATGTACTCGTTCTCTCAAATTGAACGAATAAGACGTTATTATAGATATCTGGAATAAGACGACGTCAGCAAGGGGAAAACGCAGGAAAACATTGAATGCCCGGGAGTCCTCGATTTTCAAATGACGCGGCGAGTGTCTCTAGCTCATGTCGATAACATCTGTGATAAGATGAGGGGGAGAGTCCGTGTTATCGTGAGCCACGGACGCTTTAATAATGACACCCTTATTCCCTGCCATTCTTTCTTTACTTGTCTTGTTTGCGCATCACCTGTCGCAGACAGACGACATTATTACGGCCCTCAGATCTGATTCTCTCTTCTCGGGGTCTTTGTTTTTCTTTTTCACACTCAAGAGGAAACCGTGAAGATCCCTGTGGGATGAAGAGGAAATTGTCAGTTTTTTAATCTTCACTACTTTTTTTTAAATGGACCCATCAATTCAAGAGCGAAGAGAAACCGTCGAGGATTTATACTGTGGGATATCCACGGATATCTCGCAATTCGGGGCAGATATCAATATTTTTTGTTTGACCTTTTTTGTGGCGCACATTCAGAGCTACAAAAAAGGTTTATACAAAATTTTTACCATCTCCCTCAGGCTTGCGGATATTTCTCAAAAATCGAGACTCGAAATTGAATTCTTTCGCAGCAGTATTTAGCAGGGAATAATTAGGGCAATTGCCTCGGTATTTCGGTATGTGCAGTCGTTCAATCAATTTGTAAATTGAAACATGAATAATATATTATTTAATTCCCCCAGATGTCTCCCGTGAGGGATTTTTTATATTTCTCCCCGGTCGAGATATAAAATGAGTTATTTTCGGAATTCACATCTAAGTCGTAGGGATTTGGAAACGGAAACCTCTCAACTCTATGTACGTTAATAATAGATGTACTTCCGCGTATTCCCTTGGGATGGTGAGGCACTTAGGGCTGGAGAAACCCTCGCGCGAAAAGGAAGAATGGGGGAAGAATAGGGGGAGGCAGGGCTAAAGACAAAGGAAAAACGAGAACCCGGAAACGAGGTACTCATTCTCTGCGGTTGAAAAATGGTACTAATAAGAAAGACACGAAAAAAAAAGATGTCACGGAAATGTGGAGATCCACCATTTTTTTTTGCATTGAATCTACCGTACACTCCGGTGATTCATCACTCTTCCTCATTCGCCTTCGAATTTTTTTCTCTAGTTAATAAATCGAAATGATTGATCGAGCGATGTGTCCTCTCTATCTGTCTCGGTCTTGGATTTCCGTAATCGTAATTCGCTGAAAATTTCGTCGAAAAAGTGATAGGATAATGGTGAAATAGCTAAATCATCAGAGGTTTAATGAAAAACACAATTTTTCGTTGGTATTGCTTATTCACGCTTCCGGATGATTAATCCAATCTCTCGAATGATCTGACGTGCGAGATGGACTTTGAAATTGCCAAATGCCTCACTTTCACCATCAGTGACCACTTTCAAATGTAATTGCTATTATTTTTCAATCCCATCGTACCAAGTGCATACCTCACACATTCAGCAACGATGAACAAGTGAGATTATCTAATGTTTTGAGAACTGCAATTGAAAACGCCTAAAAAGACTCATTTACGCCATTCACCGTTGCAATTTCCTCCGTTGCGGTGTAATTTCACAATTCTTCTTTATTCCTTCGGAGTAATTGTTTCCCCGTTTTACCTCGAGATATTTGTCTTTACAAGAAAAACTTCACCCCGGAAACCCTGGCTGAATTATTATACGACGGAGTCATCGAGTACGTGATTCGGACCCTCCCCAGCTACTTTCGAGAGCTTCTGCTCGTGTTCCCAGTAACTTACCTAAAATCTACTCAACTCCTCCTCAGGGTATTCAAATGGATCCCCAAATCCGCAGGTCGTACCTCTTGATTATTCAAAACCGCGGTCACTCGAGAGCATGAACATCTGGTTTTCCCGAGGATCTACGTGACACGAGACGTTTTTGATCAACAATCAATGATCTTCGATCCTTCTCGATTTAATTCCTTACCACAAATAATTAATCATCAACCACTGGCAATCTTCACTCGAAAAAACCCCACCCTGTACACATATTAATTATATATCAATTAAAATTAATTCAATTTTTGTATCTGTACATAACGAGAGGTAACTAATTAACAAATAACGAGAGATCTGTCTAGTGGCATTAGTTTTTTCAGGATCGGAACGAATTCGATCAAATATAATAAGGACTTCAATGGCATGACGCCGTACGTCTCCGATAAATTGAGTCTTTCCAGTGGGATTCTCATTACTCTTTCTCTACCTCGACATAATTGGACTCGACCAGAGGAGATCCGCGATGAGAGGTGGCTCTCCCATTCCGATGCTCTTTGTGCTCTTTGTATACCAGAGTCTTTCTCACTTGGCATTTCTCCTCGTACATTTCTCTTCATGGTTCACAGGCTTTCTGCCAGCTGAGAATTGCATCAATCGACTTGTTTACTCTCCTCTAGTTACTGGTGGATGTAATTGCAGAAATAATCGACCAAAAGTCCACCAAATTTTATATCACGAAGTAATTTCCCCAAATATTCAACGATTTAACAAATTTATCAATAAATAACTACAGAAACTATACATCATTTTGTAATTATTGAAAATTCCATCATTTATTCCTCGAAATTTCCGCTGTAATTGTCCAATAGTGCGTATAGATAAATGACATTTATTTATTTTCACAGCAGTGAGTCCCGAAATGTCTGGGAATGGAAATAAAACCGGAAATGTCCCTCGGTTTGAGCAACAATTTCACGGGAGGAGGAAGGGGAGGCAGTAATGGAGGGTTGAAGGGGTGGTTTAGTGCTTTCCTGGTGAAAGGAACGGACCGGGTGGAAAAAGGGTAAAGGGTATGGGTAAACTAATGCATTTTAAATGAAAAGCAAGCTAGGATGCAACCGTGGAAGCCGGATGAGATACCCTCCAGATGGGGGTGGGGATCTTGAAGAGGAAGTGGAGGTGGTTTTACCCGAGTTTGGGTTATCCTTATCGATTCATCGTACTCCAGTCTCCTTGAGCGACACTGATCCCCTGGGTTCAGACGATGTCAAAAAGCTTTTCCATCATCGGTTTAAGAGGGCCTCAAACCTGTACAAAAGAAAATTTATTATTTTATTCAATGGCAAGTGAAGTTTCCAGGGGGAATG